TATTCTCTTAAGTGTTGGTGCTGCTGTAACAAGTGTATTTCCCCACTGTGGGATTAATAAAGTATATTCTATTCTATTCTATTCTATTCTATTCTATTCTATTCTATTCTATTCTATTCATGAAGATTAACAAGGCTGCCCAAACTTTGTATCCCACTGTAAATAAATGATGAATGAATGAATTCTATATTTTAATATAAAAGATTGTTGATTGTCAATTTGCTCCAGATTATCTACACACACACACACACACACACACACACACACACACACACACACACACACACACACACACACACACTGTGCAGAACCCTCAAGCTCCCAGGCCTCTGGTAGCTTGGAAGGATGAGACCGCCAGCTGAGTGTGAGATGGGATATACATATGTGTGTGTGTGTGTATACTGTATATCAACACACTCTTTTCAAAAGTTTGGAACTTCTGAACTGAAGTGGTGTAATATTACTTCTGCTGCTCTAAGACAATTGCATTTATTATCCCTAGAGATGGATTCTAGTGTGTTTATTAGACTGTATGCAGTGAAACATGGAAGAACATCGGCTTCCATATTTTCTCATTGTTGTCTGTCACAGTAAAAAGCTCCAGCTGAGTGATAGGCGGCAGATCTGCCAGACCCCCCACCCCCCCATAATGGCTATCATATTGTTTATACACTGCCTCACAAAGAAAAAAACAGCAGCATTGGCTTCTTCATTGCCCTCGGGGAAGTGGTAATGATAGCAGGGAAATGTCTTCTGTCCCATCGAGATGGAAAAGATAAAGACAAAGAATCCACCTCAGGGGAATCTGTTATTCAGATTATTGACATGTTTATCCCTCTCTCTCTCTGTGTGTGTGTGTGTGTGTGTGTGTGTTGTCTCGTCAATGCTTTGCTTTTCTGACACATCTCAATCTGACCCCCCTCTTGATTCATTTAGAGTCTGTAAACATGTGTCAGCTTGTTGTCATCGGTCTTCTTAAGGCAAAAATCCAGCTATATTGTTTTTACGTGTGTGTGTGCGTGTGTGTGTGTGTGTGTGTGTGTGTGCGTGTGCGTGTGTGTGTGTTGGCAAAATATCTCATGATAGACAGGACAGATTTTAGTACAACTCGGGCAGCAATAACTAGATACACTTACGTAGCTAATTGATATTTGCAAACATGACATAGGTGTAACCGAGTCAGTTTAACAGGTATTAAGCTAAACTGGTGTGGTGGTTTCTGAGACTCGTTCAAAACTCCACTATGTAAAATGTTGTAACGATATGACCAAAAATACTGTACCTCTAGTGTTTTGTAGCTACGCTACACAATACATCACAAATGCATCGTCATTGCGATATCAGCATGCATAGTACGGGAATCGCAAAGAACAGAAACAAATGCAATGAGTGGTCAGCTCAAATGTTAGATACACATAATGCACTTAGTCAATCAAGCAGAAGCTTAAAGCTTTTGATAAATCAAAAAGAGCTCTTCACCCATTTGGCCAATCGGGTGGCTTCTTTTAGGTTAGATGCCACCCCCTACGCGGACGACACTTCATTTAGATAGCTAGCAAACACCTGAGTTAGCTTTAGTCTGCTCTTTCTGCCAGTTCTGCTTTACCTAGATTGATAGCCTTTTCTTGTTCGTTTTTCCCCCCGTTCTCGCATCTTTTGATGAAAATATTAGCTTTTCCTATTTTTTAAGAATTTCTGTAAAAATTAGTAATTTATTTGTTTTGGATTTTTGTTCTTGAGTTAAGTAGTTGTTTACTTATTGCAAGTATTATCATCATTGCAATATTATTCACTGTTACCGTGCATCACAGGTTTTCCTTATACCGTACAGCCCTGTAAGGAATAAATAATAGATAAATACATCAAACTTATATAGCGCTTTTTAGAACACTCTCACATTCACACACTGCTAGTGATGGTAAGCTACTTTGTAGCCACAGCCGCCCTGGGGCGGTCTGACAGAGGTGAGGCTGCCATTTGGTGCCATTGGCCCCTCCGACCACCACCAACACAGGCAAGTTGGGTGGTGTCTTGCCCAAGGACGCAACAGCAGAATACCCCTGGCGGGAGCAGGAATTGAGCCCACTCTACCTTCTGAGCTACTGCTGCCTAGGGATGGGTACCTTTGACATTTGAATCGATTCGGTACTAATTCCCGGTACCTAGGAATCGATACCGGTACTAATTCCCGGTACCTAGGAATCGATACCGGTACTTAACGGTACCAATTTTCGATACTTTTGAGTGTTTATTATTTTAATTCTCTTTTATAATTAAATATATATTTTTCTCAATATATAACAATATTTGACAAATATCACGATAAATAACATTCAACTGTTTGTATTTTAACATCGTCCTTGTAGTTTTATAAGCTGATAATTAAACTGAAGCAAACATCTTTACTGTGAACTAAATTGACTGTGTATCTTCATTCCTTTTGCCGTCTTTTTTCATTTGATATTTCCTACTGGGAAGTTAGAATTTTCGAGGAGAAAGCGAACGCACCATTAGCTGATAACAACGGTGGCAATGGAAGCTAACATATCAAGCTAACGTAATCTTAAACAGTTTATTTAGCTGCTGGAGCAGATTAAAACGATGATGCCTCACACTTAGATCGTTGTCGCTGGTTTCATCTTCACCCAATCACCCGTCACATTTAGTAAAGTGAAGCCAAACTTTAGAGCGTGTTCATGTTCTTCTAGTCGGGAATTCGGAGTTCCGAGGAGAAAGCGAACGCACCATTAGTGAAACGGAAGCTAGCATATCAAGCTAATTATATTTACCTACCGGAGCAGATTAAGATGAGGATGTCTCACTTAGATCGTTGTCGCTGGTTTCATCATCACCCAGTTACCCATCACATTTAGTGAAGTGGACCCAAGCTTTAGCGTGCGTTCTTTCTACCATGCTGCTCTGTTTACAACTGGCTCACAGCGACCGACGACATAACGCTCTTGCGCATGCGCAGCTGTCTAGGCAAGTTCTCGTTATGAAGGACGGGTACCGAAACGAGGCACCGTTTCAAATGACGTGAATCGGTGCTCAGTCGGTACTATGGAATTCGGTCGGTACCTTAAAAAGTACCGAATTCGGTACCCACCCCTACTGCTGCCCCAACTGAGTTTGGTAACTGTGTCATGTCAGCAGCACCAGCGTACACACTCATCTGTTTTTAAGCCTCTTTTATCTTTTATGTGCCGGGCCCGTGTCTGTAACTCTGTCACTTTTTATCATCTGCCCTCGACTTCTCAAAAATAACACTTTTTGAACGTCCCTCAGCCTATCCCTTTCCATTAATGGCTCTCTCTAACACACACAGTAAAATGCTAATGAGCCCATGAATCTTTAAAAGGCTGTTGGAAATTGGCCCCGCACATATGCTGGTGTTTTGACCCAGACTCTGCTTTCTTTTTCTGCTGCTGGAAAAAAGATGGAACTGCTTGACTTCTCTTGAAGAGTAATGGATGGGCATTAATATGTAACAGAGCAAATATGCCTATTATCTGTTTAAATAACTGCACTGTTGGGGAAAAAACCAATGTGTTATGCGTGCAGATTCTCCATCACCGTTAATAACAAGAGTTTCAGCTGTGGGGGCTGAGGGAGGCAGATTTACAAAAACATTTTTAAGAAAAGTGATTGATGTGTAAAAACTCTGGAAAGTTGCATCTCATGGAGATGACTTCGATATTTTACTCAATTGTCTCTGGAAAGTCACAGTAGAAGGGTACAAATGAAGCAAAGAGCCGTGAGTTAGTTGTGAATTGAAATATGAGGGGAGGATAGGTAGTGGGGGTGAAAAAGTGCTTACCAAAACTCAACAGAAAACCAGAAAGTAGATCAGGCAAGCGTCTCGGGCTTGAATAAATAGCTGGTTTCTCAGAAAAATGAGCAATTACTCCAAAAAGTTATTTTTCCCTCTCAACTTGTGACTTTCACAGATGGTTCCTCACACTGAAGGTTATCCAGAATGCAGCAAAGACTTCAAAAGCAGGCCAAGACCCCCCCCCCCCCCCCCCCCCAATTTTTTTGCTTCAACACTTTCCATCGTTCAAGTAGATTTTAATACAACCTACCTACCTCCCAAACCCCCACGCACTCAATTTGTCAGCGTTGTTTGAGACTCAGTGAGATTACCGTTCTTTTGGTTGAGGTTATTTGCTGTTTTGAATCCCTTTGAGCCTTTTGCTAAACTCAGTACAGAAGCTCATTGTGTAAAGTTTACCTCCAAGAAGCTTTTGAAACTCAGAAAAGAACATCCTACACAACAAACTCCCAGCTCTCAGAGCTCAGACGTATAAAACGAGCATTGTTTAGCACGGAATGACTCATCGTCCACATTCAATGCCTGCATCTCAGGGCATCATGAATGGGATCCAACCATGAGAAGAAATGATGTCAATTGTAGCTGCTCACCTGGCTGAGCAACAGTGATGCATGAAGACCCCACCTAAGACATGAGGAATCAGCTAGACCACGGGTATTCTGGTCCTGGAGGGCTGGTATCTGGCACGTTTTAGTGGTTTCTCTGCTCCAACACACTAAATTCAGTGGTTGAATCAGCTGGGCAGCAGCTCATCAGGCTGTGCAGAAGCCTGTTAATCACCGGCTGATTGAAATCAGGTGTGTAGAAGCAGGGTTGAAACTAAACCGTGCTGGAGACTGGCCCTGCAGGCCCGGAATTGAATACCCGTGAGCTAGACCATAGATCTGACAGTACGTATGGTGCCATGAACACAGTGGGCTTGGTGGTAGATCGGACCTTTCAGTATAGCTCGCTCATTGAGAGTTGAAACGGTATTGGCCCCATGTGGATGGAAGTTAAATAAGGGCTCTTCTCAATGTGAACCAAGAACAAAACACACTTTTCCACTCGTTAAGTCCTTTGTTTGGTCATTTCTTGTTTTCACATCTGCTGTATGTTCTCCACTGTGTTGCTTTTAAAAGTTTGTGCTTCTTGTTTTTCCTTTCTGCTGCCCATTCATCATCCATAGCCTGTCCCAAGCCCATCTCTGCCCTCTTACGGTGGCAGAGAGGCAGCCACTGCCAGGGTGGTGGGCCCTGCCTGCTTGGTAAGCTCAAACCCTGACCTGTTCTGACTAATACTGGGCAGCACTGGATTATGAGTGCTGATGTGTGTGTGTGTGTGTGTGTGTGTGTGTGTGTGTGTGTGTGTGTGTGTGTGTGTGTGCGTGCGTGCGTGCGTGCGTGTGTGTGTGTGTGTGATTTGGTGTGCCTTGGGTGTGTGTGACATGTCTCCTCGAGTTGAGCACATCTGTTAGCTAATTCAGCAGCATTTAGTTGAGTCTGCAGTGCCTGCTACTCTCTTTTCACTGGGCTGTCATTTCTGTGCTTCTTTGATTGTTTTGTTTGTGGTCCTTCATCTTTAGGGATTAGAGTCAGCTAGAAGCAGACAGCAGAGATTCCCTAGTCTCCTACTGCATCAGAAAAAAGCACATTTGTGTGTGTGTGTGTGTGTGTGTGCGCGCGTCCGTCCTAGAGGAAGGTGTCAGTGCGTCATGCAGACACTCACTGTGCGTATTTGTGTGTATTTTACAGTATGAGTCATCAGGTCTGGGCCTTATCAGCAGCCGACTGAGAACCACCCTGAACCGGATCCAGGAGAACCTCATTGACATGGTGAGACAGCACCTGTCTGTTCCTCTCTGCCTTTTCTTCTGCTCCTTGTTGTTCTCTCCCTTGTTCCTCCCTTATCATAACTCCTTACCTCCCAGTCTGACACAAACCCATCCCCACGTTTCCCATCTTTCTGATCCTACCTAGACTTCTTTTTTTCTGCCCACTTTATTCATTCTGACCCATTCCATATACCGTTGTAGAAAGAGCCCACAGCCGGTGTCACCGCAGCATGCATTAGAGGTCATTCTGATGTGTCCCTTTATTTGGGCAGACCTTGTGTGATTCCATTAAGGCTCTAAATCTCTGCTCCCTTCTGTAATGTTGCATGGTGACAGTCAGTGTGGTCCAGTCTGCCGGTTCATCTGTACATTCTGTCTCCTCTGCTGTAGGACAGCAGAACACGTTACCTCTCACCAAGGAGCAGACATGCTGATGTTTTTCTTTGCTTTTATTGTTCTAACGAAGAGAAAATGAGCGTTAGATTTAATTAGAGTAACTGAATGATTATTTGTTTTTCTTAGTTTCTTTCTGTCAGCTGAGCTTTGTTTGTTACCGTTCACGCCGAGGAAAAATAGCTCCCAGGGCTGCTTCTCCTGTATGGGAGGAATTAGAGACAGCGTTTATACATTTAATTAGTTAATTAATGGGTTTATAGCCTGTTGATGAAAATCGGAACACACATCTCAGTCAGCTCTTGAAATCAAAGGTGACAACACTCTGAAATGTGAATCTGATTTAAGTTTGATCTGAAAAACACTTTACTAAAAACACATTTGTGTTTACTATTTAGCTCTTGTTTAAGTTAATTTTATTTTAATACAGAAATCATGTCCTGGATAAGGTAGGCTGTGATGATTACTTGCAGTAATAGATCTTGAGTGTTTTACCTCGACTGCAGCTGAAAACGTGATGGGTTTGTTGGTCCTGATGAGAGCTAGACACAAGCAGTGGACCTGCTTGTGTTAATCTCTTATTACTGTTTCAACAGACGCTGAGGGCCTCCCAGCCTCTGCTCTAGGCTGCTTCTTTGCGAACATACCTTCTTCTTGTTGGGTTTGTGGGCATTCGGGTGCTGGAGTACGTGGAGCAATCTGAAAATGGGCTAGACTTGTTTCTGGTGTCACAGCTGTTGGTCCTCAGCCTTGGAGAAGGAAGGAGCCGTAGAGGAACGCACATGTGCTTTGTGTGTGTGTGTCAGAAATATTACAGAGATCCAGAGCAGCTTATGCCTGACATCTATCCACGTTATTCTTACGGCCCATGATGCTTTGCATGGAAGATGTGAGCAACTTCCGGTCTGCGTTTGTTTAAATTGCGATCCCTTCGCATAAATCCTCAATTTTTGGGCTTTTAGAGATGGAAAACGTGTGTAAACACCAGCTGTCGCAGCTCAGACGAGACACTGTCACACTCCTTCTGCATCAGAGGGGCGGGAGGAGGATTGTAAAATCTGGCCAAAGCTAACATACAGTAGCATTTTAGCTACTTGGCTACAGCGAGGCAATAAACACTCTGAAAAGCTCTGAGGCTTATCAGTACCTACATAGTAACAAGGCTGGTTGTGTTTTGTTGACAGAGATGGGACACAATCTTATTTACTTAACAGCCTTAAATCCCTCATCACCAAGCCTGAGTTTGAGACTTAGTTTAATCAAACAGCAGGAAGCACTTTTAGGTTAGCAACAGCAGTCTGAACTCATGTTACCGTGTGACCATTCAGAAAGAAGTGTACATCTAGTCATACCCGTTGTTCTTGTTGTGAGACCACGGTCAGATCTCTTTACTACCTGTCGTCTCTTCTCCGGAGGTTTGTCACATCCAACAACAAAGTAGGATGCGAGCGTTCCTCTCTGGTTTTCACACCAAAATGAAAGAAACACAAAGTGTGTGGTTGTCAAGTTAGGATTTTTCAGCCGCATCCCTCTGGGTTCCTCATCTGTAGGAAGGCGTTGAAAGCTGCACCTTCGCTCGCCGCCACCACACTGGAGGTGCATGCTCTAAACTTCACTCATGGGGTAAATTATTTTTAAACTCCTCTTTGAATGTTCGAATAAACCGCTACAAACAACTAAATCTAACCATGCAATTCAATGGATATGTGCTAGTTCTGATGTGTGTGTGTGTCTTGTACATGCTACATACTGAAGACCATTCTGACCATTTTCCCTACAAAGAAAGGACATTTTTTTGGTCCTCTCTTTTTTTTTAGAAGCTTACCAGAAGCTTACTATACCATTAGAGGTTTTAGTTAAGGTTAGGGGTAGATCAGCACTGGTTATGGTTAGGGTTAGAGTATGGGTTAGGCATGGTGGAGTCACAAAAATGAATGGGTCAATGGAGGGTCCTCACTATGATAGAAAGTCAGACGTGTGTGAGTGTGTAAGCCCCATGAGATGTCTAAGCTGCAGCTGTGACACACCTGCTTAGACTCTATCAAAACCTGGATGGTGGGAGCTTTCTTCAGCTGAATGAAGATAAGACTGAGATCCTCATCTGTGCCCCAGACAAGCTGGTTCCCAAAGTCAAAGACTCTCTTGGTCAGCTTGCTTCTCACACCAAACCTTCTGTCAGGAATCTTGGCGTGACCTTTGACCCAGCTCTCACCCTGGATTCTCATGTCAGTTCTCTTGTTCGCTCTTCCTTCTTCCATCTCAGGAACATTGCTAAGCTGAGTCCCATTCTGTCCCGCTCTGAACTTGAGACAGTTCTCCACTCCTTCATCTCCTCACGCTTAGACTACTGCAACTCTCTTTTCACGTGTCTGAGCAGAACCTCCCTGAACCGTCTACAGGTGGTTCAGAATGCCTGTGCTCGGCTTCTGACCAAGTCCTCCAAACACACCCACATCACCCCGTTTCTCCTCCAGCTTCACTGGCTGCCAGTCAACTTCAGGGTTCATTTCAAGATCCTGGTTCTGGTCTATAGGGCCTTACATGGACAAGCACCATCATACATTGGTGATCTTCTTAGTCCCTACACTCCCAGCAGGTCCCTGAGGTCCAGTGATCAAAGCCTACTGGTTATGCAGCACCAGGCTAAAGACCAAAGGTGACAGATCATTTGCTGCTGTGGCCCCCAGACTCTGGAACTCTCTCCCCCTGAGCCTGAGATCAGTGGACTCAGTGGTCTCCTTTAAAAAGCAGCTGAAGACTCACTTGTTCAAGCTGGCTTTTGTATGACCTTCTTCACCCCTCTCTCTTTATTCTGCTCTCTCCACCTATTCCACCTTCCTCAGGATCCACTGATTTCCCTCTTTCCTATTCACTCTCTCTTTCTTTACATTTTTAATTACAATTGTCTATTTTTTGCTCATAAAAAATATATTTTTAATCATTTTCTAAATTCTTTTTTTATATTTTTACTATTTTTGTTTTTGTCAAGCGCCTCGTGATTTTTATCTTGAGAGGCGCTATAGAAATGGTATTTTCTTCTTTTCTTTCTTCTTCTTTTTCTTTCTTTCTTTCTCTTTCTCTTCTCTCTCTCTCTCTCTCTCTCTCTCTCTCTCTCTCTCTCTCTCTCTCTCTCTCTCTCTCTCTCTCTCTCTCTCTCTCTCTCTCTCTCTCTCTCTCTCTCTCTCTCTCTCTCTCTCCTGTTCAGGACGAGTGACAGAACCCCCCAACATTTAAGTAAAAAAAGACAAAAACGTCCAGATGTACATTTGTTTGGAAGTATTATCATTAGTAAAAGTTCGACGTCTGCATGAAGCAGCCTGTCAGGAGACATAATCAGGGTCTGTCATTGTTAATCTCCTTTTTATGAAGATGAACATCACATTAGAAAGTATGGAAAATGCCCTCACATCCCTCATTATTCACTCTTCCAGTGAAGCAACACCAAAGCACCTTTTCCTTTTTATAATTGTGAAGTAAAGGTGTGATGGAGACTTGTCTGCTCTGAGCTTGTCTCTGGAAACAAAAGAGATACACGCCAGCTATGTTGAAGCACATTAGGTTATTAAAACTCTCTGGTCCTCTTTTCTGTGCAGCATGCGCTCTGCTAGTAATGTCCATTTACACTCGTGTAACTCTCATGGTCAATTATGAGCCATTTCCTGTCATCGAACGGACTGCATCTGACACGTTTGGCACCTTTCTCCAGAGAAGGCGTGGAACCTCTGAACTGCTCAGAGGATCCATTTGGACTCAGAAGGATGGATGGGCCTGGTGGAGAGAGAGGAGTTTAATGTTCTGAGACTTGGTTGGGGTTCTGAGAGAGAAGACATTTGTGGTGCTGAATTCAGACGCCTCGTGGCTTTTCAGATGATAATAATGTCTGATTGAGAAGAACTTCACCCCACTTCAATGGAAGGACAAAGTAGAGTTTAGGATCTACACCTGGACATCTTTCTGGTGCTTTAGCAGAAGCTTTTAGCTTGTTTTTATTTATAAGCAGAAATATATAAGCTCATTTCAGTTTGATGCTTTCACAAAAGCACTTCTGTTTTCCAAAACAACATCACAGCCCATGTTTTTCTGCTTATTTACTTGACTTTTCTGTCAGTGTTTTAACTCCACGGTGAAAACGTCACATTCATGCAGAAACACCAGTAGCAGCATACAAATCCACACAGCCACACACTCCAGAGACGGTGTCGAGGTTGACCTCATTTGTAAACATACTATAAAAGTTAATTGCACGCTGCGTGTCAGCTGAGCCGCCGAGTCCGTGTGGTTTTGTTCCCCTGATTTGCCGCCGCAGCTCTTTGATTCCAGAGCCAGTGTGCTGGTAATGACTCCGAGTCCCACGCGAGCGCTGCCGACATTTCATCTCATTTCATCGGGTCTCAGGAACGGAGAGGCTCCAGTTTGGGCTCTACAGGGGAACGCTCAGATCATCCAGTTGATGTGCTGTCTGTCTCAGATTCTTGATTACCTTTTGAAACCTTTTCTTGTCTTTAATTTCACTCACTGTTGGCTTTTGATTGTTTCATGCAGATTGTGTGGCAGCCGTGAGAGAAACTTCTGGAGTTGTTTCCTGAGAGTAGAAGTGATGTTGCAAAA